GTATAATATGTTTCTATGTATTAAATAAAGAAGTTTATATATATTTATATCAGTTGTCTAGTCCCCATAGTTCAAGCTCTGGTTAGTTTGGGACTAGATGGCGTTGTGTGAATGTGGTAGAATATTTTTATTTTTATGAAATTATTATAAAAATTGTGTAACCAGGATTTAGACATTTAAGTACCTATTCAAATCAAGTATTTTAATGAAACTTAAAATAGATATTTACATGTAACTTACTTACAAATTATGAACCTTATTACATGGCGAAATTTCGGCGATGTTCTCCTTTTCTGTGTTAAACATTCGGGACAAATAAAGTAGATTTGCCTGGCTATCATTTCCCGCAGGTGTTGTAAAGTTAACTACTACGGCCAAATTGCTTTGTGGTAGCAGACCAACGCAAATTAACATTCTCTACAATGTATTCTTTATGTAAATCTTGAGATTTACGTTTATCACACTTAACTCAAGTTAGAATAATAATTATCACTTGACACATCATCCAATACATACAATCCATACTGGTGCGAAGGACCACATCATATGCGAGATTCTACAACAAGGGTCCAAGAGACAGAGCCTCTGGGGACCACACACCTCTCTCCGATTTTTCCACCCCCGTTCCGACCGATAAACTTCTCACTGTCCTCTCGCGCCGATAGGCCCCAACGACGCCAGCAGATAGAGCGGCACCTCATGAATAGGACTGCCGACTCCGACATGGAGCGAACGCACTTGAAAGCGTCCACTGTCGAACGCCCCCGTCGGAGTCCAACAACTGGCCAGTCCGACACAATCAGGGCCCACTCGCGGCAGTGTGTTCGTTGATAGCGAATCGGAGATAACCCTACTCGTTCAAGCATATCGGTCGGAACGCAGAGGGAGATCTGCAGTCCTTCCTTTCCCTTTTCAAGAGCACCTGTCTCGCTTCTTTAGAGCCGAGGGGAAGACACCGAGGCTAAGACAATCCATGAAAATCCGCCTCAGTTTGCCCCCAGAACCGACAGAGCTAACACCAGTGCCCGACCTGGAATACCGTCAGGTCCGGGCGCAGTGTTGCGGGAAGCCAGCCGCCGCACGACTCGGTCCATGTCTCCCTCCGTCACCTCATACTCGTCGGACCAGAATTGCCGGTCCGATTGTGACGGAGGGATCAAGGGACTGTCCTGGACCCTTGGGAAGAGCGTGACTACCACTCTTCCCAACACCGAAGACCTGCCAGAAGTCAGCGCTGACGAAATCGAGATGGCTCTTAAACAGCTGAAAAATGGAAAAGACCGTAGAGAGGATGGCGTTACAATAGAGCTGCTAAAGGCCGGAGGTAAGCCCGTACTGAGGGAGCTCTTAAAGCTTTTTAATCCTGTCCTGTTTGAAGGAGAACTCCGTAGGCGTGGATGTGAGTGTGGTCGTCCTATTCTTTAAACATACACCGACACTTTTCCTTTCTAAGCCACGTCTACAAGCTGTTTTGCCCTGTGTCTAGCATTCGTAGACTATGAAAAGGACTTTGACTCGATCGAAATCTGGTCAGTTCTGGAGTCCCTGCACCGTTGCCAAGTAGATTGGCGATACATCCAAGTGATGAAACGGTTAAATTTTTCTTGAGACTTCCCCAGCATCATAACTTAGTGTGTTCGTGGGTCACTACTGTTAATCCTGGTTTACAGGAATTACAGTAGTGGACGTGTGAGAGGTATTAGTCCCATACTCAAGTCACAACCATTTGACGTCGTGGTTTTTGCGTAGAATCCACCACTTTACTACTGGCTCCTGTGAGGTGAGGAGGAGGCGTCAAAAACAGATACATTTTAATAAAATAACATTGTATACAAAAGTGATTTAATAGCAATAAAACAATTGGTATACAGATATCAATATATACTATTTCATTGCTTATTATAATTAGAATTTTCTTAATTACTATTCGTAGCTTCCACTTTGTGGTCGCAGTTCATTTGCACGGATCTTATCACTTATACAAGTAGGTAATTATATTATACATTCATCTATAGCCTAAAACACTTAAATATACATTTTACTATATTATCTTTGACAAGAGTACATGATTATGTTGATTCGAAACAAAAAACGACGTGAGAGGTCTATGGACCCCGGTTAGAACGAAGTTCCGTAAGAAGTGTCGGAAAGTCCGCTCAGAGCGTCTAACGCGCGATAAGGAACTTCATTCCAAAAAAAAAATAATTATAATATATTGAAATCGATTGTAGTAACACTTAATACCTAACAAACAGTGTAATAAACATTTAAAACATTCATATTATTTTGAACATATCAATCTACTATTTAAAATATGTGGAGTGGCGCGTGTATATAACTCTGCAACGCAAATGCAAATAGAAAAATAATTAACTACATTCAGTTCTGTTTTGATACATGTATATGTATCAACTCAACATCATAATGCCGTGTTTTGCTTCATATTCTCCTCTTCCCGCAAGCTGGGTTGATAAATGATTATAATAGTTTTATTGATTAATTAAGTACAATAGTTATATATGTTTTATTGCGACACGAATAATATACGTAGGTACGCATTATACTATGTACAATTTATTCAATAACTGAATAAATTACATAAAAATTAAATGTACTTGTCCAAAGTACCTGATGGACCAGAAAGCGAAATTTCGTAATAAAAGTTAATAACTGTCATAAAAGGTATCTTCGTAGTGAAGTATTGAACATCCAACATTGACTGTAATGTAATGATATCATATTGTGACCGAAAATGCAATCGGTAATCTGGTCTTAGTAATAATGCTTTACTATTTTGCTATGAAATACCAGCTATACGACAGTTGCGAGAGTTGATCGGAACTGAATTTTGACTGAACTTTTTTACGAGAACTGGCCTTCTGATCGTTTATTGTTTTATAAATTAATATTGTTTGTACGATTTTAAGTAGGTAATGAAATCCTGTCCTGAGTCCTGATTAAATAAAAGTGAATTAGTTAAAATGCTCGATGCTCACTTTTCGAAGTAGTTAGTACGAGTATGTATAGCAAGTGCATGTGTTACAGCCATAGGGCTGTAACACATGCACTTGCACTATTGATTAACTACTAATTGATTAAGACTGACAGACTGCTAATAAACATACATATTTCTAAATACATACATATTATAGATAAATTACACCCAGGCGCAAAACAAATAACCATGCTCTCATTACACAATTATTTGTCCTGGTTGGCAATCGACCTCTGACATAGCAGTCAGGGTCACTAACCACTAGACCAACAGGCCAGTCAAATGAATAAATAAATAGCTATTAATAGCAGATCAGTTTGTCAAAGTAATAAATACGGATCGACTGAATAAATAATGATCACTGCGATCCCGTCGCAGAATACCTGAGATTACCAGCGACTAACATAATACGATGTAGTCAAAATTTAAACATCAGAAAAACGCATAATGCCGGTTAAAAACGGCAGTGATTTCATGATCCACGACTGTCGTAGTAGCATTGAGCACGGTGGTAGAGTTAAAACGATAAGTTAAAAGAATGATAATGAAGTAAAAATATAAAATGAAGCGGCTTAGCTCGTCACAGTCTATTTGAATCTGTGTGAATATTGTGAAATAAAAAGTTTGCCAAAAAAGGGTGTTGTCGTAAAATCGGTTTTCAGCAACAAGCTTAATTCAAATTGCTGACAAGGTAGTCAACGCATTCTGTGCGATGTGGCCAGAATTAAAAATTGTACAAGGCAAACCTAGAAAGATATAGAGATGTTTTTTTTATGGATTGGGGGGAATGTCTTTGTACTTGGATGAAATGACACGAGATGAGGAAATGAATGGTCAAGGGATTAAGCTTTATCCAACTTATGAAAAACATAGCGTATCACAAAGGAATAAATCGTAGGCCTTATTTACAGGTCTGATTATAAATATGATTTATAAATCATATAATTACACCTGTGACTAATTTAATGTGACTAAAGACTAGGAGAAGGTTCCGCCGTGGGCATTGCTTCATCGAGAAACAATGCCGCGTGCGCCTCAGCGGGCTCCGTCGCAAAACTCGCTCCATTTCAAACAAACGAGTGCAAAATCGCTTCTCCGTAAACCCACTCATACAACGCCATAATAATATGTTTGAATTTTGTGCGGGCCGCCCGCGATGCTCCGCGTCTCCGTAAATGAGGCCTTACGAAGCAATGTTTGACTATAAAGCTAAAATCGGATTAAATAGTCTTCCAAAAGAAAACCACTATTGGGAGAGGAAACTGAATCAGTTCTGAAGCTGCAAAGAAACGTTTATTGCAATTGATATTGTTCCCCAACACGAAGTTGCCATCCTAGAATGTGCAAAATGTGTGAATGCGTTTCTAATAGATGCAAATGTTAAAAAATTAAGCCTCTTATAAAATCCCACTAATTTAAGCAATTGTAAAGTTATCTTGCAATATTTCACTAAATTTGTTATGTCAGTTGTTTATACATATTTTATTGTTGTAGTTTAAAAGTAGCAAATATTAATTTATTTATAACTTGAAGGACCGACAGCTTTGACAAATTTGCTTAACGTAGAGGATTGCAACAGTCCCTAAGCCAATTACGGATCCCCACGTTTTGTTCAGAGCATGGTTAATAAAAATTTTGAGCAGCCTAAAGCACGCTTTACAATGTGAGTAATCCTTAAACAGTGATATTCATTCATTGATGATATTGATAGTGATATTATCGCTAAGTTCTTAAATCTAATATTTACCAAATTTGGAAAACGACCCATTGCTTATTTGATGCTCAAATATTTTAACTATAAAAACCAAACTTTCAAATTACGTATAAATATTGTTTGTAAGAATAACGCTATACCCACGTATGTGCGGCTTTACTCTTTCTGTTAGTGTTACATAATCGCGATGTAAGACTTGCAGAAAAAGATAAAGTAATATATTATGCTGGTAAAGCGATGAATATATGGTTGATGTGAGAATACTTTAAGTATGATTCAAGCTAGTAAAGACTAACTGTTTGTATACACTTTCATCAGTTTTTGCAATTCTTCTTCGTATTCCATTCTTATACTTGGATTATAAATATCTACCTTTTTATTATTTAGGAAATGGTGAAGCAACTTAGTTTTTACAAATTGTTCATATATATCTGTAATGCAAGTTTTGTAATACAATGTGTAAGTTTTGTCCTCAAGATGTTTTATATGGTCTGAAAAATGTTTTGCTGACAAATATGCCAACAACGGAGTTTTAACTACACAGTGGTTTATAGTGCTTACACCTGATTCACCTTCGTAGACAGATATATGTTTCCATGAATGAGGAATTGTTTCATATAAGTCACGCCACTTATCCCTACCATCTAAATCTGGAAAATTCGTAATTAAATATAAAATCAAGGATACAAAAATACTACCTAGAGGATAGTTTAATATAGTTGTGGAGTGCTCAGCTAGATGAAGCGCAGTTTTATCTAAAAATTCTTTAAGCTTTTCGATATGTTCTTTGTCAAAATTAGACAATAATAAATTTGTTTGCCAAAATTTATCTAAAAACACATGTAGTTCATTTTCGTCAAAACCTTCTAATTCATATGGTTTGCCTAAACGTATAAGCGTATCAATATCTTTGTATGATCTGCTGGTAATCCACATTTTGTTTTTGCGAGAGTCATCTTTGATTATTTTGAGAAACGCCATAACCGTGTCTGTGTAATGCGGACATATTTCGTCGAAACCATCAAATAAAAATATCACATTTTTTTTCATATAAGAATGCAGAAACAGTCTTAATTCAAACGTAGTCCACTCATCATCTACGCCCAGGTCTAGTAGATTCACATATCCATTACTTTCTATATGTAAAGAAATTTTAGCATCATATCCAGGCCTTATGGATTGTAATACAACGTGACACATTAACTTGAGCATTTCTAATGTACTAACGACAGTTCCATGCTTCTGCCATTTATTAAAATGTTTAACACAGTCGAGAAAATTTATCTTAACTATCCAAAGTTTATATTTTACTTTCTTTGTTTTGACCGCTAAATGGGTGAGTAAGGTTGATTTACCTATTCCTGGTTTGCCTGTTACAATAACAATGTCGTCTTTAACATCAGCTAATGTACGTAGTTCAAGCGGAACGTGGTCACGAATTACTTTTCTGTCAACAAATAAGTGTTGTATCTTATCATAATTTGAATCAGTAAGGGATCCACCGACCACGATATTCTCATTTAAAATAACTTTTCGTAATACAGATCCTACTATAAATTTCATTGGCAGACCGTCGACAAGGTCAGCTAAGGTGACATTTTCGCCTTGAAATGACACTTTTGCATTATTTAAAATTTTCAATTGTGATGTTGCTCCAAGATCTTCCATACTGTGATTTTTATCACTAATTACTTTAGGTATCTGGGGAAACCATTGCCTCATCATCGATGCATCTGTGTTATTAATAATAATCACAACTTCTTTGTCAGATATCTCTTGAATAAACTTTTGTAACTTTATATTGGAATTTGGAATAGTGCTTAAATCATCACAAATGAGTATGAGAATCTCCTTCAAATCTTTTTTTTTTAATTCAGAGATTAATGCGTAAAACTCGTCTGTTAACATTTCAAAAACATATTTTAAGTCTAGAACTATTGGGTCATTAACTTTCATTTTACTTAAGCACTGAATTACCTTAATAACTGTTAATATAGTTATATTCGTTACAACAATGGTTTGTTTAGTTTTTGAAAAAAAATCAGAAAAGCAGTGCAACGCTTCCTCATTTAACGAATATTCAGCTGATGCTATTTTCTTCATATACATCGTGCTTGTAATATGTATTAGCTGGTTTTTACTAATATTTTCCACTGCTAATTGATACATATTCCTCTCTTTTGTCAAGTAGTGCTGGACAGGCAACATCCACCATTTTTGTATGTTATCGTGATATTTTACAAAAATCGCATCGGATTTAATACGGAAATAGTCTGTTTTTGAATAACTTTCATGATTTTCTATTTCTTCTATCAAAATTTTTTCTATCACTTCATGAGATGCCTGCTCCGTCCATAACACAAGTTTACTGAGGAATTTTTTTACCAAATGTTTATGATAATGATCATGCACTGTAAGCTTTGGAAACTTCTCAATATTCACTTGAATGCGATAGTTCTTTAAATCACCAATTTTTTCTCTTATTTTTATTAATAGGCATTTCGCATTAGGCTCCAGTAATGAACAATCATCTGTGAATTTAAGTAGGCCGCTTTCATCGTCATAGACTAGTAGATTTCCCACGGCTCCAGCTAGGCCTCCATTGGGCCGTAGAAGTCCAACTGCAATTGTGTCGTCTATAGAAACAATGCAATGGGGTTTTGATTTTTTAATTAAATCTTCTATACTGGCTGCCAAAAAGTCTATACGCCTCTCAACTTTTTTTGTACTGCCAGGTAATACTAAATCTGTATTACCAAATATAAAAGGAACTTTAAATGTAAGCGATTGTAGTTTTTTTATTGTAACAGTATTGATTGCTTTGTTTATTGTGCTGTGTGGTAGATTTATGAGACTTAACTGTTTTTTTAAATCATAGGGCACATTATTGATAAATTTCAGTTCGTTATTTTTATATGTTATATGGCTTCCAATTACATTCATCAACGTTCTTTCAGATGGATAAGATAAGAACTCGTCAACATGCGATGTTTGCGTTGGGTTGTGTTTTGACTGAAGTGATTCAAATATGTTTTGGAAAAACTCCTCTTTGAAAAGTGAAAGGTATTTGTCTGATGTTTCAAAGAAATCATGTCTGAATGTACAAACACTATATTCTTTACGTTCTTTTGAAACATGTAGTACATTTCTAGCTAAAATTATATGATAACGCAATATATATTCATCGTTCATCATCATTTCATTTCGTTCGGTACTAATATATTTTGCAAAGTTTCTAGCCAGTATTTTCATTTCATGTTTCAAAAGTTCTGTCTCTAAAAGTTGTATGTCTTCATCGGTATGGCAAAGCTGAGATCCTCCAACCATACTTGTACCAATCAATTGAGTTAAGTGATTGGCGAACGGGTTGTTTAAGTCATCTCTCTTAAAATCACATTTTGCATTAGTGTAGAAAATACATAAACATTCAGTGTTATCAAAATATTCGTTAAAAAAGATATCTTCACTTTTCGTGCTAAAGCATCGTTTAATAGCTAAATAGCTGTTAAAAAACTTTACTATATTTATAGGATTAGGAATTGGAATTCTGTCATTCGCTTTATGTTTCACTTGTAAAAATACAACTAAGGGTCGATCATGTCCCTTTATTTTTGCTTTAAAACAAATATCGTCAAAGTGATGCGCATTTTCTATATTGGAACCCATATAAAATTCTTCGATATCATTGTTATGTTGAGCTCTAAAAAGAATCAGGCTTAAAAGTTTAGTTTCATACAATTGCCCATGTATGGAATGCCCGATCGCACGCTTTTTATACATCTTATATTTACAAAAAAAATTAGGTCATTACACGAGGTGGGTTTTTGAGTCTTGTAATTTTTGTGATGGAAGAATCAACGATCTGTAAAAAATATCAATGTTGTCAGTCAAACGATTCCCGACCATTTCTAAAGTTACTATTAGTTTATGTAAAAAATATTTAAAATTCGATAATAAACATAGTACCTGGCATAAAAGTAATTATAAAAATCAAAAAATCTCTCATAATTTGTTGATGGAAGTAAAACCAATATTTACAGTGTAACGTAGTGTGTAAATTAAAATGGCAAATTTTTGTGGCAGCAACGACCGACGTAACAATAAAATAAAACATATTCATTTTCATCTGATTCTACCTTCTTATGTTCTAAATGCACATTAGTTATTTAAAGAACATGACGATAATATCGAGGAACTGTATTTGGCTCCAGTTTAGAATAAAAGCCTAAAATAAAAAACAATCATCTGCCTAAGTGTTTAAAATCATCTTAATTTGCTCATATTTTTTCCACACCTTAAATTGCATTGATATGTTATCTACACTACACATCATATATTTAAACTACCTACTACAACTCTACAAATTATAGTATTATTACAACCTTTTAAAAATATACGTTATCTCAATATGGTTAAATGAAATTAAATGAGTTTAAGGTTCTTGCAGTTACACCAATCCAATTAGACGACTCACCAACTTATCTTTCTTTGTATCGTAATCAAAACAGCGGCGTTTTAAAGTTCTAATAGTGCATAGGGCATTTATTTTTTTACGGTTTAAATATTTTGATACTATTCGATGAAGAAAGATCACGGGCTGCATTTCGATCTGTCAAAAAAGAGTTAGCTAATTCATAGCGTCGCATTTTCACCGCGGAAGTAAACCTACATGGTCAGCACACCGAATGTCACTCAATAGGATTTGTATTCTGCAAAATTATATATGACATTTGTAACACAATAGATAACTTCTCTACCTTTGGTTCACACTATCATTTGAGAGATAATAAATAGCGCAATATTTTGTTAAACGATTGTTACAAAAACATAACAAAACTACCATAAAATTTTGCTCAACCATAAGTATAACAGGTAATTCGCTCTCCTGTAAACTTGACATTTATGACTTCACTGGTGACATACATAGCAAAGTATACTATACTTCCTGTATCCTATATCAGATTCTAAACACATTTTTTTATCAATCTTAATATCTAAAATATCAAACGATATGTTTATTTATTTTTATTATATTTTCAGTTTTCACCAAGTAAACTGTTGGTATATCAAAGTATATAAATAAATGATAATTATTATATTAAAATCTAGTTACCGGTACAATTATTATTTTTACTTTAACCATTATATTTGTTGATACCTTGAGCGAAATTTGTCTCACAGATAATTACTTTGATTATTTTTGTAAAATTATTTAAGGTGTCTTCTACACCTTGAAGTGTCCAAATTCCCTTTTTTTTTCAAACTATATCTTTCATTTTTAAATAAGTTTTATAAAAAAATTTGAGGTGTCTTTTCTACCTTAAAGTATTGAAATTATTTCAACTTCTTTATCTTCCAACCCCTTTTTTTTTCCGTGCGGAAATCCCCTCGGATACCACCTGTCGGTGGCATGTCGGACTCGAACCGACTAAAACCGCACGCCGTCTCGGGTACTAATAGCCGGGGAACCAGGTATACCCTAGAAAGGAAGTCCCTGGTGCCCCGACATACCTCGGGTCATCTACAGACGAGTAGACGACCCCCCCCCCCCCCCGTGTGGGAACCCCATGTTCCCTGTGCTCCCTGGAAGCGAGCGCGCTTCGCAACGCGCCGCCACCCCGGCCTGCTTCTGCTAGGGTGACAGATGGCCTCACCTGTCACCCCCAGGCCTGCGCTTATGGAGGACGGAGATCGTTCTGCGACCTCCGGCGCCTGAGTCGCCTGCGGTACCTAGCCTGTTCCCGGGCCTGGCGGGCCGGGAGAGTCCTAAACCTCTCCCGGTCCCGCTCCGCCGTCTCCTTCGCGAGCATAACTTGCTCGCAGAAGGAGACGGCAGAGTTCCACGCACTCTCGCTCCGCACGATAGCCGCAATCAGGCTATCGAGCGAGAGAACTCCCACTCCGATGGCCGCCACGAGGTCTCGCCTCTGCTCAACCCACGCCGGGCACTCTGCCAGCGTGTGGAGAGCCGTGTCCACGGTCTGGCCATCGCAGTGGTGGCACTCAGGCGTTGGTTCCTTGCGGATCAGACACAGGTGATCCCCGAAACATCCTTTCCCAGTGATCACCTGCGTCAGTCGGTATGAGAGGGTCCCGTGACGCCACTCGAGCCAATCCTCCATAACGGGTCTTACCGCCGCGATGACGGCGTGCCCGATATCTGCCAACCCCTGGTAATAAATGCAAAGTTTTAAAAATTAAATATTTGAAAAAGAATATGTTTGTTCGTTTCTAATTTATGATTCAGCCAAAGATAAAATGTATCAATCTGATTGTACAGAATACTGGTTAATAGTTCACGTTGTTTAATTTTCATATTGCCACGTTTTAATAAATCAAATAAAAATTCAGCAGCTAAATATTGCGCAAATGTTATTTGTATGAACTGGGGTACTTTGTTTGATACGCTGCATGTAAGACCCGTAACTTCTTCACCCTTCTTTATGGTATTTATAAAAAGGTCAATATTAATTAATTGTTTCTTATCGAATATATTACGAATATCATTTCGGAATACTACATATGCAGCAATGGTTTTATGCACTTCTTTGTGCATTTGCAGTTTACTTTCATAGTCTATTATATTGTATGTAATATCTAAATTCATTTTCTTTTTATCTACATAATGCTTCTTTATTACAGCTTCAATTAACTGTTCATATACAGTGGAAGCCTTAATATTGAAACTGTTTGTGTCATTGTCGTTTTCATCAGGGTGTATTAAATAGGTAACGAAATAAGTTGCTGCTAAACATATAAGTAACGGACATTCTACTTCAGGACTATCACAGGCAGTATCTGTCTTTTTCGGGACGTATTGTCGTAAAAAATTTACTGTACGATACAAATTTAACCACCGCTTGGCGCCGTCTATTTCTGGGAAATTGACTATTAAGTAATAAATAAAGGAACCATGAATTTTGCCTAATGAACGACTTAATGTAAAATTATTTACAATTCTTTTTGTTGATGTATTATCTAAAAATAATTTTATTCTATCTATAATGTTCTTATTAAACTCGGAGAATATTATATTAGTCTGCCAAAATTTTTCTAAATATATAGTAAACTGATCCGGGGAAAAAAATTCTAATTCATAAGGCGCACTGAAATGGTGTTCCAAAACTGATTGCAATTCGTTGTATGCTCTACTAGTTATCCACACTTGAGGCCACGGCAGCCACTTCGACCAATCGACTTTCTTATTTCGGGCATCTTTTTTAAGAATATTAACTAATTTTATGACGGTCTCTTTATAATGGGGACATATTTCATCAAAGCCATCGAACAAAAATACTACATGTCCTTTATTATAAAAGTGGACAAATATTTCCAATTCAAATCTAGCCCATCTATCGCCTGAAAATTCATCTATGTATACTTCACCGTCACACTTATTCAAAGAAATTGTTAAATTAGTTAAATTAAGAGAAATTTCCCTGTTTTGTTTTTTTATCTTTAATAGGACTATACACATAAACTTTAAAATTTCGAGAATATTAATAGCTCCTTTATTCTTTAGATCTCGTAGCTCTGCAGAATGATCTAATAAATTTATTTTTACTATCCAAAGCTTATTATTGAGTTTTTTAGTTTTGAGTGATAAATGAGTCAATAACGTAGACTTGCCCATTCCAGGTTTACCAGTTAAAATAACAACATCGCCTGTAACATCGTGTAACGTTTGCAATTCTATAGTTGTCTGATTACGAACTAATCTTCTGTCTATGTATAAATGTTTAATGCTGATATAATTTGGATCAGCAAGCGAATCACCAAGTATGATGCTTTTACTAAATATTATTTTATGTAACACCTGTCCTTTTATAAAATCTTTTGACTTTAACTTCTCTATATCATGACCTATTATCTTATTCAAACTTATATTCTGACCTTGAAACAATACTTGACAATTTTCTAAAATATATTTTCTTGACTCAGGACAAAAGTCGACTAAACTGTGTAACTCAGTGCATGGTGATTTATCTATGCTTGGAAAATATTTGGAAACAGTTTCAATAATTATTTCATTTGTAATAATAATTTTCTTCTTCTTTTCTAACAAACTAGCGATTTTTTTTAATTTTTCGTGTATTCTATAATTTTCAGTTGAAGTTGCAAAATTATCTAAATCACACACAAGAATGAAAGTATCCTCTATGTTGGCACTTTCCAACTCCGAAATCAATGCGTGGTAGTCATCAGCTAATATTTTAAGTATGTACTGAAAGTCTAAAACTACGAATGGATTTTTTAATATTTTCATTATTTTAGTGACCGTTAGCCTTGCGCTATCTGTAACTATAATAAGTTTAGGAAGTTCACCAACCAATTCTGATTTAGTAAATATGTCCAACGAAGATGACAACGAATTAATTGCACTTTCATTGAACGTATAATTAATAAATTTTAATTTATTCACATACATCATACTTGTAATAGTTATTAGAGAATTATTCACAATACCATCAACTGTCTCTTGATATATATTACGTGTTTTTGTTAAGTACGGTACTTTTTCAGATGATGATATCCACCATGATTGTATTTTATCGTGGTATTTAAGAAAAATTGCTTCAGACTTAATGCGAAAATTTTGTGTGTTGGTGATTTGTCGGCTTTGTATTAATTCTTTTAATATAGTCTCCACGCCACTTTGAGAAGCTTGGTCTGTATACAGAACCAGTTTACTTAAAAAATCTCTTGTTAATTCTTCATTAACATAGTCGTAAGTAAGCTTCGGAAGCTGTAAATTTTTTACGTCAATTCTGTACTCTTTCAAGGTTTTGAATTTACTTAGCAATTTATCTAGCACGGTTTTGGCATTTGGATTTAGCAATGCATTATTTTCTATGAATTTAAGGTAACCATTCCCAAGGTTTTCTCCTTCATCATATATTAGTATATTACCTACGGCGCTGCCAAGGTTACGGTTAAGGACTAAAATTTTATCTGTTGCTGTTTCATTAATAGTAACTAATTTGATAATTTTGCCGTCAGATCTAACTGTAGGTACAGCACAATTTAGCAAATAGCTGATTTTTGCAGTGAGATTGTTTATATTTTGAACTTTGATATCTATATTACCAAACGTAATCGGTACCTTAAAATTCATATCAGATGACTGCAATATATTCAGTGCGGCTTGTTTAATAGCTAATTTTACGGTGAATTCCGGCAAATTAATTTGCCTCAACTCTTCTCTTGAAGCAAGTGATCTATGTTTTTGAACAAATTCAAATTTACCATCATCGTACAAAATTATTCTTCCAATCACAGGACGTAAAGTATCTTCTGCCGGTCGAGTCAAAAACTCTGACAATAATGTATCCTGTGTTATTTTATCGACATCCTGTTTTTTAAGTATTTCTATATAAAAATGATCTCGAAACATTGTAAGAAACGGATCTGTGGTATTAACGAAGTCATCACGAAATTTGCATTTACGTTGATGAGTATTTGCCATTTCACAAACATGAACCACTTCTTTAGCTAAAATTACATGGTAGTAAATTATTATATCATTTTCAAAATCCGTTAACGCCCTGCATTGATTATGATATTTATCATATAGAAACTTGGCAAAGCTTTCAGCAAGCCTCTTGGCTGTAATTATTTTAGCTATAAACTGTACATTGTTTTCACTATACAGTGGTTGAGCTATAACTGGGCCTGTGGCTATCAAGCTATTTAAAACTAAAGGGTTTTCGATATTATTAACATTTTTATTACCTTCCGCAATTGTATAGACAACAAAATAACATTCAGTTTCCTTAAAATCTTCGTTGAATATATTATCATCAGTAGCAGGGTCAAATTTGTTTTTAATTTTTACATAACTATTAAAATATTTTAATAAGTTACTTTTCTTGTTAAGGTCTGCAATTGTACTTTTACTATGTTTAGCCTGTATAAATACGACTAAGGGAGGGCCATCTTCATTCATTTTTGCTTTAAAACAAATATCGTCAAAGACGCCAATGTCGGCTATATTGGTAGCTAAATAAAATTCTCTGATATTATTGTCATATTGTGCTTTAAATAGTACTAGGCTTAATAGTTTAGTTTCATACAAGTGGCCGTGAACTGCTGACGTACCTTGACGTTTTCTAAACATCTTATTATCCCCTTCTTTTTCACCAGAACAACCTTGATGCTATTTCAATTACACGATGTAGTGAGACCCGATGAACTGCAAGCATAAAAAACGATTTATTATAAACTAAACAACGTAAATCAATCATTCTCTTCGTCTTTGTTTCGATCATTTGTGTTAGGTGAAGAATTCAGACTCTGATAATTATTCTTCTTGTAAATGTCATATTATTCATAACATGAATCCAAACTGCGAAATCTAAAGTACCTCGCTTTTGAAAAGTTCGAAGCCATCATTCTTTTTTTAATACTAACTCCTATCTAATGCAATTACGTTTGTATGGAATCCACATATTTTATATAAAAACATCGTATAGTATAATAATAACATATTCGGACATCTAACTCACAACGCCATCTAGTTTCGAACTAAGCAGAGCTTGTACTGTTAAAGCTATATTGACTGATAGAATATTTATATACTTTGTTTTTGTAAATACATACATGTTATAGGTACATAAAAAGCACCCAACCTCCGAAAATAATATTTGCAGATGATACAAACATTTGGTCCGACTCGGGAATCGAACCCGAGACCTCGGCACAATAGTTTATAAGCTACGTGACATTGTTTCTAAAGACAAATCTGAGGCGCTCAAAAACGTTTGGTTATACGGCCAGGTTACGGTACGGTTACAAGGCGCTTGGAATACTTAAATGTCCTCATTTACCAGCCTGAAATAAATATACGTTACGTAATAAACGTAGAACGTAAAACTCTAAAGAAAATTAACAGTACCCCTTTCCTTTTTTAGGGTTCTATAGCAGGGCTAGGAACTCTTATACTTTCGCCATGCCCGCCAGTTAATTTTGGAAGTAATTGTTGCCCAAGATAAACATGCATAATTACTACTACTACTAATGTACTGTTTAGTTTTTTACATCTTGAGAGCCGGTTTTATAAAGCCATTGACCGTTGTTAAACCGCGAAAATATAAAGCCCCCTTTGAAGTCGATGTTGTGAATCCTACACTGAGTGTGGCCCAACACGCACTTGCCTGTTTCTTCAGAGATATTCTGCAGAGATGGACAATTTTGCAAATTGTCCATCTCTGCATTTGCACCTTTGATCAGTAAGAATAGGTGCAGGAGTGTTAATACGTTAGTTAGATAGTGGTTACTTTTATATTCTTTTGAAGGGATGACTATCATGTATGTAGATGGACTGCATAACAATACTCGCACTAATCCGAAGAACTAATATAAAGTAAGCGGGAGCTCATAATTTCGAGATGTGAAGAAAAAACTATTGTAAATATTATTTTGAATACCGGAGAGGGTTTTCCATTTCTGGAATTGTTCATCATGTTTGAAATAGTCCTACAATGGACTGCGAGGAAAAAGCTTTACCCATATTTCCTTTTGTTAAGTGATAAATTTGAATGCATTATAAAATATAGTAAAGGAATAGTTCATGAACGCACCGCACATTACACGCCTGAACAAAATGGTAGAGTGGAGAGAGAAATGCGCACGATCATGGAGAGCGCAAGATCTATGTTGTACTCTCGTGATATCTCATTGAATCTCTGGGCTGAAGCAGTAAACTGTGCTGTTTATTTATTAAATCGAAGTTCTTCTACCCAGACAAAGGATGTATCCCCATATGAGCTGTGGAATGGACAGAAGCCAGTCCTTCAACACATAAGAGTATTTGGTTCAGCAGGTTATGTTCATATACCTGATGAAAGAAGAAGAAAATTAGATAAAAAGAGTGTAAAACTAATATTAGTAGGATATGAAAATGAAAATTATAGAATGTTTAATATTGAAAGTGGGAAGATAAGAATAAGTAGAAATGTACACTTTAATGAGAACAACATACCAGTACTGAGGAAAAATATCACTTAAATTTCGATCACCTATGAACATGAACAAAGTGAAGGAACACAAAATATACCAGTTTCACCAGGAAACAACCAAAATATTTCGGAATCTATATATATATGGGATGCCAATGATGTGACGTACCAGCCTTCACAAATAATTTCTGAAGATGATGAGAGAAATATTACATTGAGACCTAGAAGGAACAGGTATGAAGAAGCTAATTTTGTTGAGTTTGATATACCTACGACATATGAAGAGGCTATAAATTGTAAAGATATAAGAGAAGAATTGCAGTCACCAGAAGAAAATGAAACCTGGAAGTTAGTAAATAGAAATAAAGAGAAAACAGTGACCTCAAAATGGGTATTTTGTGTAAAAATAAATTCAAAGACAAGAAGTTAAGAAGTCAAAAACGGTACATAAAACAAATTATAAATAGATTTAACATGTCAGATTCCAATCCTTGTAGTACCCCTGCTGACACTAATGTAAATTTAAAGAAAAATGATGATGAGAGTAATATTGATTTTCCATATAGGGAAGCAGTGGGAGCCCTGATGTTTTTGTCAACCATATCTAGGCCTGACATATCTTATTCTTTGAATGTAGTTAGTAGGTATGTAAATAATCCCAGTAAAGACCATGTAAATGCTGTTAAACGAATTATTCAGTACTTGTTAAAGACAAAAGATGTTTGTATTACTTATAATTGTAACAAAGAACTAATAGGTTTTTCTGATTCTGATTTTGTCTCCGATATTGATTCTAGAAAATCTAATACAGGATATATATTTATGATGAACGGTGGGCCTGTTACTTGGGCTAGCAGAAAGCAAAGTACTGTGGCATTATCAACTACAGAATCAGAATATATGAAGGCAAGTGAGGCTGCCAAAGAGATTTTATGGCTTTGGCAGTTAATAAATGATATTGATGAACCACAATTAGTGGTAACTCTATGTATAGATAACCAGAGTGCTATTAAACTCATTCATAATCCTATTTACCACAAAAGAAGTAAGTACATAGATATACGATATAATTTCATAAGAGAAAAGGTAGAACAAAATATCATAAATATTCAATATGTGAATATTTCAAGCCAACTTGCAGACTTTTTAACAAAAGCTTTACCTTCTGGTAAATTTATTAATAATAGAGATCAAGTACTGAAAATAAACTGAGGTTGTTAAGTATAATATTAAATACTTAAGTTAATTTGTTTTAGTTAGGTTTAATTTGTTGGTGGACAGTGGGTTGGTTTGAAGCTTAATATTGTAATAAAATTTATCAGTTAATTGTTAAGTGATAAATTTTATAATGCATACTGTATACAATGTAAGTCATATTATCTTAGCTTGCTAACAAAAAAAATATTATTCTTTTTGCTCCTTGCCGCTTGAAGCGCTGTTTTGTCTATGTCTTGAAAAATTGACACGTCATGGTAGAACTAAGTAAGAACTTTAAGTATAGCAATGAACGAAGTAACTCGAAATCTTACTCAATCTTATTATATTTGGACCTACAATAATACCTTTTAAGGTACCTTTAAAAGGACCTCCAAAGGACTTTGCTTACTGAGTACAGTGTACAGCTGCATATAGCTATTGAAGGAATGCACTTGAACCTATCAAATTCTTGAAAATGAATCTTATTGCCTAACCAAGGACATAATAATATAAAGATGTGGTTAATATTATAAATAAGTTTCTATCACATTATTAAATCATCATCATCAACAGCCTTTAATATTCCACTGCTGGACATAGGCCTCTCCTTAGAAAGGAGGTTTTGGCCTTGTGGCATTATTAAATAATTCTAAAAACTCAAATTTTAGTACTTTTATCAAAAATATTTCACAAGACAAAGCTCTAAAGTGAAAGAAATATTAAAATTACCTAATGCAGTATTCAAAAAATTTCAATCCTATATGAGACTAAAAAAACCTAATTTTACAAAAAAAATATAGCATAAGTATGAGCATCCTCATTACCTTATTAGCATAGGTTTAACTAAATTTTTTATTAGTATTTTGTGTTTATTTCTATCCATTTTACCTTGAGACCACAGAGCCATTGAAATTTATAAACAGGTTAGTATAACAAGGGAATTCTCTTTCTCAAATGTTATTGATACCTGTATTAGGTTCCATTGTTTACAAGCTCTACTAGGTCTACAGGAGCCTAAACCTAAAGGCAAAGAAAATACTTTTAAAGTAATAATAATAAAACAGTTATCACAAATACAGAATAGCACTACAACATTATAAATTAACTTTAGTAAGACAAAAACTAAAACAAAGTAAGGGGGGATATGTTGCTGGTAATAAATGTCCGATGGATAACAGAATAAAAACTTAGTGGGAAGAGATTAATGTAACAGCTTCCTTATATTGGGACTAATCCCACCCACACGCCCACCACTGCAACTCCTGTACACCAGGATCCACAGCAGTGACCTACGAACAAACCGAGTTATGACACTTGACTGGGAAGTCCCAGGAAGAAATTAAACTGTCTTGGAACCCACAACGAAATTAATCTGAAGAAAATTGGAGGCGTTGTAAATACAGTAAATCCACTTCCCTCCTTAGCAAAGCGGGAGACAAAATAAAGTAAAATAGGCATACACCCTTTTAAACAGGGAAGCACCACGGCCCCAAAATATTACGGGTCCTAGGTGAGCTATATTTGATTTCTATAATATGTATGGCAGAATCGCCTAAACGCAAGGAAATTCACCCTAGTTGACACAAGATCCCCATAGTATACCTCCCCAGATGTCACCTGCAAGCTATTCAGCATTATATTATGTTCATTTTACCAAAGACTACATTCCCAGAGGATATGATGAGCAGACTGTTCATAGTGAGAGTTAGGTGTTGAGCGCTGACACAATGGTGACTCAACTAATTTAAATAAATACAGCTTGTTCTTAAAGTTACCGTGACCCGTAAGAAATTTATCAACATTGAGCGACACAATGATCCACCTCAAGCCATGTCCTCGACAACCTTTCGCAAACAGATGGAAAGAACTGATAAAGATGGCACCCCTTGGATGATTCGAACTTTCTTATATGCATATATTTATAACACAACCCTTTATAACTCATATTAATCAAAGCAAAGAT